AGCAAAAGTACCCCAAAACCTTATCTACCAGGCTTTGGTATAAAACTTCCCCCCAAAATCTTAACAAACTAGATTTTGGGAATAAAATCTCCACAGCCTTGACAACATTTAATTGGGGTTGTTGGCAGCTAATGAACCTTAGACTGTCTTATTTTTCTGGTGGCCTACTATGGGGAACAATATGCATCCTCCTTAAGCCCATTCCTATCCTGCCTGTTCTGCAACCATTCCCTGCAACTATTCCAAACCTGCACAGACATCTCTGTTGACTCTGGGGAAAGGAAGGAAATTCTAGCCACCACTCCATGACACCCTATATGATAGGTACTTTAGTGAGTCAGCATGGCCTCCCGCTGACTCAGAGGAGGAAACTCCCCTCAAAATCCCTTGGTGGGTGGTGTCAAAATTGCCCAGTCCTGCCCACAAGAAACAGGAAGCCAGGGCTGAGAGTATAAGAAGGGCAGCTCCCAGTTCAGTTAGCTCTCAGCCACCGAGCAAGGCAGAGGATCTCCCCCAGCCCCAGCATCGGAGGGCCTGGCTATGCTGCTCTCCAGCGGACGACTGGGTTGGGCCACCCAGGCTGTTACCAGGCCCTGAGCTCAGGCCTAGACCGCGCCGGCTGGAGCGGAATCCCGAGACATGCAAGCAGGAGCCACTGCTTGTACCCCCCAGTCAACCTGGACCTCTCGAGTGTCTGCAGGGCCCAGCTGAGTGGGCCGGACTCCCTGGACCTTTAACAGAACTGGCTTCTGAGCCTATGGACATGCTGCCACCTCCACCATCCCTAGCCAACGCCAAGGAGCGACCTCTGAGTCAGGTAGGCCCCCAGGGGGAACAGGGAAGTGGCCCAAGGACAACCAACCTTAGGGTGGCTGAGGATATGGAAGTTGGTTGGGCAGCATACTGCAGCTTAGAGCCCCACTGACCCACTGACCTGGACAGCGTATTACGGCGCTGTGCCCCTGCCACTATTAGGGCTCTGGGCTGGGACGTGGTGGAGTAGGAAGGGCCCGTGTCCCGCCTGCCACCCTTTTCCCTGGGTGGAAGATTCCCCCTGTGGGACAAATCCCCTGTGCTTGTTGGTTCTCCGCTAGCAAGGAGACCCAACTCCTGGATCAGCCTGTGAACAGGCCTGTGCCGTTAGACTTTTCATATTGTGCGACTACTCATTCGCTGCCTTGCCCTGACCCAGGGCTTGGGCTCACAAACTGTCGTGCAGCCTGCTAGACTGTGCCTCATCTGTTAATTTGCTGACTGGCCCAGACCCAAGGCCTGGGCCCCTGGACTGTGGGGGAGCCCTCTGAACTACTGTGTCACTGATAATTTGCTGATCATCCCTAAACCAGGGCAGGCCACTAGGACTACTACAGGCCAACCAACAGGCCTTTAGGCCCCAGACAGTGGCCTCCCGCTGGCTTGAACTACTACAGGTACATGTTCAGCAATGCATGATCAGACACTAAGGGTATGTCTACACTACCCCGCTAGTTCAAACTAGCGGGGTAATGTAGGCATACCGCACTTGCAAATGAAGCCCGGGATTTGAATTTCCCGGGCTTCATTTGCATAAGCGGGGAAAAATTGGACTAGCCCAGAAAATTCAGGCAGGATGGTCTGCATATCCATTAGTGAGTGCCCAGGCAAGTTAAAATGTTTTCCAGCAGGTTTCTGTGTGTTACCATTTCAGATATCTGACTTGTATCCATTAATCCTTTGTCATAGAGACTGTATAGTTTGGCAAATATATATGGCAGAGGGGCATTGCTGGCACTTGATGGCATAGATCGAATTAGTGGGTGTGCAGTTGTATGAGCCTCTGATGTGGTGGCTTAGGTTAAGTGCTGTAATGATGTTGCTTGTATAGTTGTGTGGACAGAGTTGGCCCCCAAGTTGATTGCAGGGGTGCCTTCCTGGGGGTATGTCTACACTACCCTCCTAGTTCGAACTAGGAGGGTAGTGTAGACATACCCTAACTGCACTAGTTTTTCAGACTAATTCCATCTTCACCTATGTTCATCCCAAAATAGAATGAGATTTAGCACATTTGAATGGAATAGTTTCCATTTGGGGCAGCAGATATCAACCGCTGATAGTAGTTTATCATCTACATGTCTCTTTGATCTGAATTCGCTCATTTCTATTTTATTCCAGGCTACAGTGAACATGAACATCAAATGTATTGCCTTATGATTGTTATTTTTATTCCTATTTTATTATTAGTCATATTGATGTGCTCCTGCTTGTATCTTCTTTAAAGTTCCTCTTTACAGTTCCAAACTTCTTTCCCCAATTTTGTGTTTAAAATCACTTCTTGTTTGAGAAAAGATAAATAAGAATGACACTTTTCAACTTGGAAAAGAGATGATTAAGGGGGGATATGATAGAGGTCTATAAAATCATAACAGGTGTACAGAATTTAAATAACAAAGTGTTTACTTCTCATAACACAAGAACTAAGGAATCAATTAAATTAATAAGCAGCAGGTTTTAAATAAACAAAAAAGTATTTTTAACACAACACTGTGGAACTCTTTTTCAAAGGATGTTGTGAAGGCCAGGACTACAAAAGGGTTTGAAAAAAGAACAGGATATGTTCATGGAGGATAAGTCCATCAATAACCATTTGCCAGGAAGGGCAGAGATGGTGTTCCTAGCCTCTATTTATCAGAAGAATGGGCAATAGGGTATGGATCATTTGATGATTATCAGTTCTGTTCATTCCCTTTGGGGCACCTGGCATTGGCCACTGTCAGCAGACAGGATACTGGGCTAGATGGATATTTGATCTGACCTAGTATGACCATTCATATGTTCGTTTCTTTGCTATTTTGGCTAGGTACCAGTTGTGTATTTTTGCTAGCCAAATCCTGGATGTTGGAATACTTTCATATTCAGTCTATATAATTTCAGTTCTGTTATATTTAGTATTCTGTTAGTTAAGACAGACACCTTGTAGATACACATTGTTTCTCTTTATACATTTCAAGATCTCTCCCCATGTCCTGATTGTTCCCCCTCAATATTATTTTTTTTTCTTTCTAGGCCTATCTGTCAGTTTGACTACTTAATATTGTTCTCTTTTTGACAACCATTTGCTTGCTTTAGCCACTTTATCCTTCCTGTGCTGTTTCCTTGTACAGGTTACCCTTATCTGTCTTTCCCTTCCTCTCGCCTTCACTAGCATAAACTCCACCAGTACAGCTCAGTCTCTCATTTTTTACAATGCCCTCACCTTTAACTTAGCTATCCCCCATTAGTTAAATTTGGTCTCCTGAATTTCATGAAAATCACATGAAAATAATGGACAAATCTCCACAGGAAGGAGGGCTAGTCCAGTAGTTAGGGCCCTCACCTAGGAGACTTGAGTTAAATAGCACTTCCCTACGTCACAGGGGTGTTGTGAGCATAAATACATGGAACATTTTCTGAGGCACTTTGAGATCTTCTGATGAAAAGCACTACATAAGATCTAGCTATTATTATTTTATTATTAATTTAGCTATTTCTCACACACATGCTCAGACACACACACACATACCGCCCAGACTTTTTAAAGTTCATGCATTTTTACTGTGTATTTTAGCAAAGCTATGCCTACCATCATTAGGTAGACAGCATACTTGTACATGCATGATGGCTTATAATAAGCACAACTCACTGTTGCTGCTGCTAAGATGCTGTGAGCAATTTGCCTAT